TTCGGCTCGTTAGGCTTAACGAACGAGCCGAACACGAGCTGCTTAACGAGTCGAACACGAGCTGTTCACAAACAACGAGCCAAATTGACAGCCCTAATTCCAGCAAACGTATAATCAAACAGACCGGCCCGACAAGATGAATCCAACGACGCACTTAAAACAAGCCCAGAACGAGACAAAAAACCATTTTCGAAAGTTTTTTAGGCATAATTGGAAGATCAGACGGGTGTCAAATAGTGAGATAATGTTATGTGGAGAGCACCTCAGGGGTAGAGCTCTTGCCCTTTAAAATAATGAGATAATGTTTCTACTAGTCAGCGATCAAACATGATGCACTGGATTTGTGCTAAAATGTAAAAATGGTCAATTGCACTCTAACCTTACACATGCCCGCCAATAATGCTCACCTCACTTTTGAGCCCTTGCCTTTTGCCCAATGGGGGCGAACATCATGGGATCATTTCCAGTAGTCAATGGGCAACAAAAGTTCACCATCTTAGTTGTTGACTACTTTACTAAGTGGGTTGAAGCTGAACAGCTCGTCAAGATCACTACGGGTGTCAAAAATTGACCCAATACGTAAAACCGACTCAATCTCGACTCGAAATTTTTTTGTTAGGGTTGACCTGAATATTTTTTTAGTCAGGTTTGGGTCAGAATTTGACCCGTTTATTATTCGAGTTGGGTTCAGGTTAAACATAAAAATCAAAACATGACCTGAATAAGCATAAAATTTAGGATCGGGTTCGGGTTAGCAGGTGAAGTTCAGGTTCGGGTAAGCAGGTCTTAGTTTTTGACCCGTCATTATTCGGGTCAGACCCGAACCCGACCCGCTAACCTGAATTGACATCCCTAAAGATCACAAAAGCCAATGCCAAGCAGCTTGTTTGGAAGAATATTATTTGTCGTTTCGGCCTCCCAACAAAAATTATCACTGATAATGGAACTCAACTCTCTGGGAAGGTCTTTACATCTTTTTGCAAAGATCTCCATATCCAGTTGTTGCACACCATTGTTGCCCACACTCGAACCAATGGACAAACAGATGTGACAATTTGAACTGTGTTTAAAGAGTTGAAGACTAGTCTTGAAAAGGCTGGAGACAGTGGGTTAAAGAACTCCGCAACGACCTCTGGGCTTACCGGACTACCACACAAACTCCAACTGGGGATGCGCCTTATAACCGTCATCTCGATAGATATTGGGGTTCCAAATCCTTGAGTTCAATCCTTCAACCCATGCAACGAGGAACCTCAACATCAATGCGACATATCTATGGGCCCGCCACTTCAACCGAAGATTCAAGCCTCGGTCTATCTCTATTGAGGATCTGGTCTTGTGTAGTCTAAAAGCAGCTGGTCATGACCAGCAATATAATAAGTTGTCCCCTCCTGGTAGGGTCCTTACATCATCGTCACCATCATCAAGCCTAAAACTTTCAACCTCAAGGACTCAGAGGGGAAGAACCTGTAGAGAACTTGGAATGCGGAGAATCTCCACAAGTACAATCAATAACAGTTCAATTATGTAATCTTCAGTCTATTTGTTGTTCTTTGTTTTCCCAGTTGTGTGTGTTATTATCAGTGTCATTTGTCTTTCTTTTTCATAGATATTATATTGCATCTTATATTGTCGTGTTTGCTTCACTAACAACATCAACATATCTCTAACTTATTAAATGAATATCATTCTCTTGCTTTTCTCTATACGAGGACACCTCAAGAAAGAGTAATGGTTCATTTACGAGTCACCTCAAACTCTCGACCCAAGAAATACGATACTTCGATTGTCTTTCAGTCAGAGCACGATCAATCTCAAAAGGAATCGACCCAACCTCTTCCACACAGGTTAACATCGTTGAACCTTATTCCAATAAACATCCCTTGATATGTTAATAGCCCTTGGTGGATTGCACCCCATCCTGTCCGCACAGGTTAATAAGCAAGCAATGCTCCAACTAACAACCTCAGATTGGTGAAAAGTTCTTGGTGAACTTCCACTGGCTTATCACATACGGGCTAACATCAGTGAGACAAACTTGATCCAAAGCCCCGGATAAGACAAAGGTTGTTCACGATCTTCTCCAACAACAACCACCTTTCAAATCATAACCTCTAAACAATATCTCACATCCACTGCGACATGAAAACACAATTAATCATCACAAGAAAAGTGCAATAAAGAAAGAAAGATGCTCAGGTGACAAATAACCAATAAAATAAAATCAATTAGGGGTCAATCGGGTCAGATTCGGGACTGACCCGAACCTAATACCCAAACCCGACCCGAATGATGGTTCTAAAATGGACCGAGTTCTTGATCGCCCATTGCTCGATCCCAATAATGTCAGCCTCTTACTTAGAATTTTAGCTTCTTGTTCTCATCCTCTAGGGTCAACACCCTCAATCGCAAAGCCTTCACGTTTTTTTTACTCTGATTAAGATCGACTCGTGCTTCTACCAACTCCTCCTGAGTCTTCTCCAGGCCCTGACAAAGTAGCAAGAGCAAAGTCGCCGTTGTAGACAGTTCTGTCTTGTACTCCGTCATCTGAGACTCTAAGATTGCAACTTCCTCAGTTTACAAATCATATCGGCACTAGTACTCTCCCTGAAGGAATTTGATCCTAACAAACTCAGAATTCCATTTTTCCAAAGCAAGGCGAAGCCCCATCAAGAGTTTCGTCATCTTGTTCAATCGAAAAGAGAATTTGCCATCAAACAAATGAAAGAATTACATAAGAATAATGAATAGAAAAGAGAGAATAACTCACGAAGCACTCTGTCTCTTGCAACCCTAATGCATCATGATTCAATAAGTTTCCTGGAATATGAATCTTTGTAGGCCTAGTCGATGACTTCTTGTCCTCTTCGCTTCTCTTATGCTACTTTTGAGGAAGAACCTCGCGGTCACCATCAGGTAAGGGACGCTTCGGGGGTGTCGCAGGAGCTCACTCGAGGGACCTTTTCTTGGTTTTCTTCAACGCCACTATCAAAGATCACTCAAGATGGAAGGAAAGCTTGACATGGGATAAAGATTTCACACTTACAAGCTCATAGATATATTGCACCTAGAATTGTATCTCCTTGAGGTCCCGAAATCCCAACATCTGCACTATCCCATCTTCGGTGATATGCTCACCTCTCACGAAACCCCCAATCATTCTAAGAGTCTGTTTGGGGCAGCTACAACTTATTGAATAATCTGCTAATAAGCTGATTAAAATTAATCTGTTGATAAGCTAGGCGCGGTGGGTATTATAAATTTTATTGTTTTGGAAAAGTCAGACCGTTGTCAGAAAGCTACCGCACCGCACCTAAATAGGTGGGGTGTGAAAACACTGCTTTGAGCGTTTTCAAAATGCATAAGCTGTCAAAACGCAGTTTACCCAAACAGTTCAGGTGCATTTTCAAAACACCACCGCACCAAACAAGTTGTCACAAACAGACCCTAAGTAAAAAAGAAACTTACAAAGCATTGTCTCATCGGATCTTTCGAGCGGAAGTCCAACACCTTATTCTTGAAAAACACAAGGTTGTGTGCGTCGCTAGCGAACTCGCACGGCCGAGCCAAGATCACGGGTGTCAAATTCGACACATGTCTACTTCAAAAGATGATCAATCCGATGATGATCGTCGCCACCCGACAAGAAAGCTATGTGATTCAAACATCGATCGCCTTCAGTATGTCCATAAACTCGGGCACCGACAGAAATCGAAGACTACCTCGTAATATATGTCTCATGAGCGGCGATGTTTCCTAAAGGGGGAGAGTAAGCTTGATCAGTTGGAGTTGGCAGCTTCACTATCATATCATTTGGGAAATAGTACTTCCAAAATAGAATCAAGTCGTCCGCCGTCAACTTCGACACTGAGTCCTCAGAGTTATGGTACTTCCTCTGGGTTATGGCAGGACATGGTTCACCAAATGTCGACATCTCAGCAATGCGAAAGATCGCAAAAGAAGATCCTAAAGGGCTTGTTGGGCAAGATCAAGGATAGCTTTCGAGGATAATTTTTCCCCACATTTTCACAAAAAAAAAAAGATCAAAAAAATAAATCTCAAATCACTTGCTAGGCGGAGATGAGGAAATTTTTTTTCTCTTCTTTTTCTTCCTCCCTTCTACACCTTCCTCCCCTTGGGTTGAATTTTCTCCTCCATTAGGCCTCTCCCTCTCCCTCCCTCTTGAGCTTCCTACCCCTACCCTTACAATTTTTTCTTCTTTTTTTTCTTCTCCTCTTTCTCTTCTCCTCCCCCTCTTCCTTTAGAATTTTTCCCTTCACCATAACCCTTTATTTAAAGTCCAATGGAAGTTTCAATCTTCCTAATTTAAACTGAAATCTAGATTAATTCAAATTATTCACAATTAATTCAAACCCTTAGATCCATCTCCTTAATCAAGGGGATAATCTAGTCCTTTGGAATCAACCGTCACATCAATCT